GTCAGTCAAGGCTCCACCTTCCCAGGCCAGATGGGGAAAGGCCTGCAAGGCAGGGAGCAGGTCTTTCTGGTCCAAAATGGTGTCTTATTGAAGTCAATGGGAATTTAGTAGTCTGGCTGTGAAGCTCTTACATCCTCTTCACCACAGATGCTTGTAACAATCCTATGTTGCGTTGTTAATGACCACACAGTTCCTAGAATGCCTTTCCTACTTCAAGTCCTCTTTGGCACATCATTTTTTCTCGTGTTGATGAAGCAAAACTGAAAATGATTTGGGTTTCTCCTGGATACTGCAATAATTGTAGAACAAATCAGTCAGCAGTAGACCTGGGTCACCATACTTCATTTTCTCATCTGGATCTTTAAAGCTGAACTCTCTGGGGAAACATAACCTCTTCCTTTCTCCATTGAATATACAACAGGGAAATACGCACAAGACATAAATAAGAGAAAGCACTGGGATGGATGAGATTCTAGGGCACCTCATAGAGGACACTCTTGTGTAGGTGTAAGTGTTTGGTTTGGAGGCATCATTGGCTATTATTAACATGGTGTGCCATGCTTGGCAGTACATTGTTCATGATTGATTGTAGCATGTCTTAACCACATGCCATTCTGAGAAAGGGTCTCAGTAAGCACCACACAGGAGGGTATGCCATACCTGGAATTCTTGCCCCCCACCTGCCTTGTAGTAAGGCCAGTACAGTCGTACCTTGAATCCCGAATGCCTTGGTACTCAGATGTTTTGGCTCCCGAATGCCGCAGTCCTGGAAGTGAGTGTTCCAGTTTGCGAACGTTCTTTGGAACCCGAACGTCTGATGGGGCTTCCGCGGCTTCCGGTTAGCTGCAGAAGCCATGCTTTGTTTTCCAAATGTTTTGGAAGTCAAACGGACTTCCGGAACGGATTCCTTTCGACTTTCAAAGTACAACTGTGTAACAATTGGAGATGAGAAAGAACTGTTTTGTAATGAAGACTGAAATGTTTAGTGTGCTGATGTTATACTAGTCTTATTCTCTCAAAAATGATTTCTTCTGCAATTATTTTAAAGTTTGCATGTGTTTTTCATTATCTTTAGTGTACTAAGAAGATGCATTTAAAATTGATCTATTTCAGAATCATTTTTTGCACGCCTTATTTTTCCTTTGTACAGTAAATCTATGTCTGTTGTTTAGTCGTTTAGTCATGTACGACTCTTCATGACGCCATGGACCAGAGCACGCCAGGCACTCCTGTCTTCTGGTAAATCTATAAGGTGGAGAATTTGGGAGAGGGGTAGAAGGAGAGTTGATTTCTGCAAACCCAGATGAATCAGAAGGACATGAGGGGGAAAGGCGGGGATAAAAATAATCTATAGGAGCAATGTGTAAATTAATAACGGCAACTAATATTTATGGACCTCATTATCTCAACGTGCTCTTTTTTAGATGATTTTAAGTGACTATTAAAAACAGGCATAGCTAAAGCTAAGATTAATAATTTAAAGTTCAACCAGTTGGCATTTTTCAGATATGCAACTGCTATACGACTGTATTAGTTGAAGGAAGAAATGGAATTACTGAGGGTAATAAGATTTCACAGAATAAGAGAAATTATACAGGAAAATGACTCTGTTAGATAAATCAGAAATGGTTATTAGGTGACTGCATATCAAAATCCTTGCAGCTTCTCATTCTTTTCTCCACTTTATATATCTATATATTTTTGTGCATATATACACATATCAGCACTTCATTTGTGTAAGAATGATACCTCCCTCCCCCATACCCTTTAGGAAATTCAGCAAAAGTATTGCTCTGTTTTCTCCATGAAAAGAATTGACTCATCACCTTCAGTCCTACCTGCCTATGGAAGAGGAGCTACCCATTCTGAACTGAACATTTCAAGTTAGCCTGTGGCTTAGCACATTTCAGGGTAGTAAAGCCCCTATCATACCCACAACACACCGTTATATCCTTCAGTGCACAAAGATATCCAGACTTTTATTGACTTTTGTCTTCAGGGAGCCACTGGGAGACCTTTATCTAATCTTGAGAAAGCTCTGTTACTACATCAACCTGTCTCCTAGTATTTGGAAAACATGCATATATACTACGTAGGCTGCAGTGTTCAAGATAGAGACCGTTGGCCTGTAAGCCTAATTTGTGTGACTGATTGTCTTTCTCTCTCTCTCTCTCTCAGTCTCTCTATCTATCGCTCTCTATCGTTCTGCTGTTTTGAGATTCATCGCTGTGCTGTGCTGGATATTGCTGTAAAATATGCACCCGACGACCTCTATGGGAGCAAAGAGGAATCCATTCAAGGAAGAAGAACAAGAATGAAGGAACTGATTGGTTGTGATTGACCAGATCTTGCTGGAACATTTTCTTCTGAAGTGTAAGCAAGTATCAGAAAGCCATTTTGTATATTCCAAAGGAACAGGGAAAGATGAACTGTGAATGGGTTAAAGACAAATAATGGTTCTAACGTTACAGAGGAAATGAGCAAGGATCTCACAATAAAGGATGCTATTCTCCTGCGATAAGATGTTAGAGCAAGGATGGGGAACCTGGAGACTTCTAAATGCTTTTGGACTCTCATTTCCATCAACCACAGTCTGCATGGCCAAAGGTCAGGGATGAGGGGAGTCATTTTCCACCACCATCTGGAGGACCAAAGGTTCCCCAGCTCTTTTCTAGAACCTCAGGCAACTTCCAAAGGATTTTGCGCATGCAAAACCTATGAGTTGCACTTCCCACATTACATAAGAGGGATATGGTCAAGAATAAAGGGAGTAAAAATCGCAAGCTTCATAAAGTTTGAAATACCTCTAAGACAAAAAGATGGGTTCACATTACTTACTTATTTATCAATTCCTCAACATGGTATGTGAAAAAATTTTTTTATAGAAAATGTTAAAATAAAAACAATAAATACAGCTAGTTTGAAATGATCAGTGCATTCTGTTTTAGCAGAAAACTTTATTTCACCTCACTGTCTCACAAATTTGAATCATATGCAATAGGAATGCTTGGATGGCTTCATCATCTCTTTCCAAAACTAATTAAAGGATCATAAATTATTTAAATTGGCACCATATATTCTACCAATTAAATGCAGAAAAAGGATGGCCTTTATGGCCATCCAGAGACCATTAGAAACCCCTCACCTGAACCTTCCAGCACACAACGGGAGCAGTTCGGCATCCAATTTCACCCTTTCTCTCTCTACCTTCGGCAGTCAAGTTTTAATGCGTAACCTGTATTTAATCACAACCTTTGCCTTCTCTGCATAAGAGAATGTCAGGGAACCAAAATTTTACTGCAGCAGATTTATTTCCCTCCTGATAACCTCTCAAGCAAAAGGCAAATCAGAAAACCTGGTTTGATTTCCCTTTTCCACCTTAGACTAATAGAGCTATAACTACAGCCAGATCTATGCCTCTGCTAAAATTAAATCTACCTCTGTTGCCCAGTAAGTGCCTCCAACAGGACAAAATAAATCTGGGCAACTGGGAACAATGAAACAAGGCTGCAAAAGCCCTGAAATATCCGCCAGTCTGCAAAAAAAAAAAAACCCCAAAAAAACAAGCCTTCTTCTTTCTGAGCTCCCTCCCTTGCATGGTGTAGAGCCACGGGAGTTAGTTTTGGCTCCCCTCCAAGCCCTCTTGAGCAGTAAAGCAGACCATACTGTTTGTGCACCCAGGAAGGCTCTTTAAAGTTCCTTCTAACCTTCAAACTATGATTTAGATTGGCTGGCTGACCTAACTCATTTCCTGCCACTCCATAAAACAGAAGGGCCCAGCATTCAGATACTAGCCGGTGTGCTGAATGGCCTACTTTTGTGCGCGAAGCACTTTGCTGTTCATCATAAGGCTGGTGGCCTGCTGTGGAGGTGCTAAGTCACTGGAATTTTCTCAAGCTCTCTTTTGTCCATTGCTGTTTCAAGGTCAACAGCATAAAATACAAGCCAAGTAGAAAGCAGGGCCTGTCTGATTCCCAGGGAGTCTGTATTCAAGGAAGTGTGTACAGGAGAGGCAGTACATCATAGGCCCCCAGTGTGCAGAAGGGCCTCTGCTGAAGAAATCTTTTAAAGCAAAATAAGCTTGTGATGAAGAAAGTTCAGGCAAAACAGATCTCTGCCATCTGGCAAAGTAGATTTATAGGAGGCATGAAGATACCTAGAAGTTGAGAAGCAATTAAAGAGGAGAACTTCAGACCTTCACCCCAAATATATAGACCCATTACAATGAACAGGCAGCTGTTTACACACTTTCATTCCCTACAACACCAGTGTTATGTATTCAGTGGTCTGTGTTTGCCTGAGCTTGAGTCTGGACGAAGGATTCTGGGCCCCTGTGTTCTGATTCGATGCATGATATCCAATCACAGAACATTTCAGGATTTCAGGATGAGTTATGATTTGCAGCTTAGGAGTTTAGACAGCCAACCACGTTGTGAGTGGGAGTGGCCCAGGCCTTCAAAATGTATATAAGCAGTTGCTTTGCCCCTGTTGTCCAGTTGTTAGTTCAATAAAGGTTCTTGCTGTTATCACTGTGCCTTGCTTCATGGGACCCCACCTACACTTCAACCAGCATATCATATGCACTTTAATCTAGTAAAGGGACATGCTCAAGGTTCAGCTGTAATTTCCAAGAATTCCCAGAGCATGGTAGTTAGAGGATGCGTTACCATGCCGTAACAGCAGTACAGATACGATTGCCTTTGAAATATAAGCACATGCGGGAGTATTCATTACACACACTTTCTCAGCCTTGCATTGCACGTGTGATGTGTGTGGGCTGTGCAACAAAGGAAAAATGGACACCAGAGTGTTGGGTGATGGAGTGGATGGAGAACATCTGCAACACAACCCTGAATCCTATCATCTGAGGTGTCGCCATGAAACAAATAAAAGGTGGACTCATGTCTGCAGTGGGGCAGGCTGCCAGATACATAGAATTGTAGGGTTGGAAGGGACCACAAGGATCATATAGTCCAACCCCCTGAAATGCAGAAATCTTCTGCTCAAGGTGGAGCTTGAAGCCACGACCCTGAGTTTAAGAATCTCATTCTCTGCCAACTGAGATATCCCATGTATAATGGAATCCTGAGCACTCCACATGGATAGCAGTAGGCAGTGGCCTGGGGAGGTGTCGGGGTGCACACAGGATGAATGTACGCAGCTATGCTCTCCCGTCTCCCACAGTTATACTTGTGTGTTCCTGAATGTCCGAATAGGACTATACATCCCTCGGGAGGAAAAGGTTAAGCATTAGCATATTTGAAGCCTAGGGCAAATTCCACACTTTACTAGTTTATCTAAGTATACGCCTCTTTTTTAGCTCCCTTAATCAAAAACACTAAGTGCTTGTGCTTTTAATTATATCCTATGAGAAGAGTAATTTGGCATTATGCAATACACTTATTAGACTGACCTCCAGAAGAAGGCAATCAAAATTACATTAAAATGTTATCAATTTTCAAAGACTCATTCAAGCAGCAGTGAGGAGGTGGAAATACCAACCAGTTGCTAAATCTCTGATTTATACTTATCCGATATACTGCCAAGGGTTTTTATATCTCATCCATGATCATATTTTCGGCAGATGTGTTTTTCTTTCTGATGTTTTCAATTAATTCCTTTTAATGAATTGTGCTGAATATTGATGAATGTGTGCTTTCATCACAATCTAATCACCACGATCTGCTGCTGGAGCACGTATGCTGGGGGTAAAAGCTTCCTGCCTCTGGTGGAACGGTGCAAATTGTATGCTTTTCCCTTTCAGAAACTCTTATACCACTAACCACCACCATCTCAAAGCATGTAAGGGCTGCTTTTGATAAAGATGCATAGAATAATTTTGAAACATGCATGTGGAAAAGTTTGGATGGCAGCTACTGGCTCGAACAGGGATGAGGAACCTAAGACCTGGGAGTCGAACCTCAGATCTCATGATCAAGTCTTCAGACTATACCCTGGCCACATCTCCTATCCATGCCACAGCAGATCATCCAAGTGTCCCTATTTTCCAGGGAAGTCCCTGATTTAGAGAAGCCATCCTGGTTTCTCATTTGATCCTGAAATGTCCCACTTTTCCTTAGGATGTTCCTATTTTTATTGGAGAAGTGCTGGAGGGTATGGAGTTATCCGACCCCCAAGCCGTCTGAAGACAATCCTGTCTAGGGAAGTTTTTAAAATGTTTAATGTTTTGTTATGTTTATATATATGTTGGAAGCTGCCTAGAGTGGCTGAGGCAACCCAATAAGATGTGTGGGGTATAAAATGTAAAATTATCATTATGGAATGGGATGTCCCTATTTTCGCTGGATATATGTTGGAGGGTGTGCCACAGCCCTCACCAGCCCTGTTCCTGAATTGTCTTTGCCAGACTGGAATCTGTCCTTGAACTCTGGTTTAGCAGGGTGGAGGAGGTGTGAATGAAATGTAGCATGACATGCTGATATATTGGTCAAAAAGCCACAGTTCCGTAACACAACAGGTACTGTCGTATGGAAGGAACATTAGAAAATGGGACAGAAGCTCTAGCATTGCGATCAGGAAAACTAGCACAATATATTCCATGTCTGAATGCACTCCTACTCTGTTTCTGGAAACTCACTGAATATTATGAGGATGATCACTTTGATCACTCTGACCAGTTCAAATGGTGATGTAAAGAGGCCTATACAGTGGTACCTCTGCTTAAGAACTTAATTCGTTCTGGAGTTCTGTTCTTAACCTGAAACTGTTCTTAACCTGAGGTACCACTTTAGCTAATGTGGCCTCCCGCTGCCCCTGCCACGCGATTCTGTTCTCATCCTGAAGCAAAGCTCTTAACCCGAGGTACTATTTGTGGGTTAGCAGAGTCTGTAACCTGAAGCGTCTGTAACCTGAAGCATCTGTAACCCGAGATACCACTGTAATGGCAATAGTGTTTTCCTGCACTACAGAGCTATTGTGAAGTGCAATCCCAAACCTGTTTGCTCAAAAGTGTAGTCCCCTGATTTCAATGGACTTACCTCCACGCATGCGCACAGTGTACATGAGATTGTAGCCAACAACTTTAAAGAAACTCCTGGTGAAGTGTGTAGAGATTTGGCAAAATAATCAAGAGCTGTAGACATGCTTTTATCTCTAGCTATCAAAACTGATACTTCAGCTAGTCAGAAAGGTATCAGATCTCTTTTTACCCTTCATAGCACAGGCAAGGATTGAATTCCCTGGAGTTACAGTGCTTCTCAGTAAGATTATTATGTTCTCTCAATAGTTTACTTTTTGCTATAGGATAGTGTATTACCCACCAAGTGGGCTCTGCTGAATTTTTCTAAATAGAAGTCCTTCTACTTTCCTGGAGTTATCACAACACAGACTCCTTGTACATTGAATTACCGAGATCTGGATATTCAGGTACTCTGTAATCAATGCATTGCTTCATCTGACAAAAAAACAACAACCCCACAACACTACTGCTCCCCAGCTGGACATCAAAACCAAATGCTCTTTTGCTTATTTTCAGGTATTCCTGTGTCATTTCAAAAAAGAGGGCTCCTGATACCAGTGACCTGACACATCAGGAAGTGCAGAGTCCTTGGAGATGAACCATATACCTGCCCCCACAGGTCAAGGACACTGAAGAACAGGCAAGAGCCCCTTAGTCCAATGTTGAATATCCTTGTGAGGGGCCCTCTGGCTTGGCCTCTGAAGATGAACCCCTGGAACTCTCAGAGGAGAAGGTGGGGCGCACCCCTCCCCAGTCCTTTAGATCAAGGACAAAGAGCAATGGCACATTATGTGACTATGGACCCAGAGTCATTGGTCCACTTGTGAGTAAGAGGGCCAGTCTTGAGAAAGCCATCAACGATACTCCTTCACCACTAGCAACTGTACTTAGGGTGTGGTTTAGGAGGCCATAGTAAGTCTTCTAGTTGCTCGAAAGAACAGATCTCTGGCCCCTTGTTCTTTGGTGCCTCATTCCTGAATCTAGTCTCACTGCCTTGCTGTGTTGTGCCTTGAGCCCCTAATATATTGACCTTTGTTTGTTTGGGCTGTGCTGCAACTGCAACCCTCCCCTCCTTGACAACTACTTTGGTGGAAGGTTATATCTTCTGTAACTGGGTCCCTAGGCCCTGAGGGAATCCCCCGGGACATGGCAGGTATAAGAAATCATTCAGGAAGGGCAAGAAGGAGCAATCCTCATAGCCAGCCACCCTGTACTGTACATCTGCTGAAGTCTCTTCCTCTAGCACCATAGAAGTCCTTCTTGGCTAGCAGCAAAATATCAAGAGGTATAATATAATAATATAATAACTGTGAAAGATGAGGAATTAAGAAATCAAAGTGTAAGTGTGTGCCGAACAGAGGTGCCTCCTGAAGCAATCACAAGCTTGGCAGTCCTATAGACTGCCAAATTAAACCCATCAATGCTTGGACCCTATGCTCTAAGGAGCAGGCTCTGTGCCACTGGAACAGATGGGCCAGAGGAAGCACAAACAGCCAAGAGTCCTTTTATGAGCATTAAATATCTTTGCTGAGGATATAATTTCTGGCTTGGAACAATGCATTAGACATCTAGGTTCTGTTAAAGGTGCAATGTAATCTAGACTAGATTACACTTATATAGGGGTTAAATAAAAAAACACATGACTACACACAACTAAAGATAGCAGTGACAGGCAAAATTCTTATTGATCCTAACATTTCTTTTTTTAAACATATGTATTTGAAGCCAAAGCACATATTCATGTCCAAGTTGGAATTCCACAGCCAGCAACTATACAAAATGGGGGGAAAGACTGCAGGAATTTGACTGAATATTATCTCTTTTGCTCAGTTAGGTGCAGTGATGGGAAGCTGCAAATAGGCATGAACTGTTATTCAAATGAGCCTTTCAGTATCAGTTTTTCACAGGACCGTGTGCACCTTATTGCTGGTGCAGCAAGCTTGTGCCAGCTTCTCAAACGGGCTTTCCAATGGATAAAAGCACTTATATTTGTGGCCAGTTTGTGAAATCTGCTTTACACTCAAAGGCATAACAGTATAGTAAACATAATAAATCACTGTTTGTGTGTCAAAGGAGACTCTGTCCCATTTTAAATGTACTTTTATACAGAGGCTTAATTATATCAAAGGCAACCTTTTGTGGGAGACAGCAGGTTCCAGAGGAGGGGACTTCATAATTAGGCTACAAGTTGCATAGGAAAGTCGCACAGATGGAGGAAGCATAAAGAAGGTGTCAGACTGCACGGCTTTCTCAGACACGGCAGAAGGCATTATTCCTTCAGAAGCTCTGTGGGCAATGATGACACCAAGAGAAGGAGAGATTGGTGTTAAGATTCAGGCAGATCATGCACCATGCTGTGCGGATGGTATCATTATCTAGTTTAATCGAAGCCTTCTATGAACCATACTTCCAGGTCTATGTAAAATGAGAAAACAATATGTTAATTTATCTTTTGCAGAAGATTCCCTGTCTGATGAGGAAATAGTTGGTATGGGAATTTTTACAGATTTGATGAATGTTGCACTCTAGAATACCCCCTTAGTTAATTGCAAGTTATATTAGGAGTCCCCATATGGTAGGTTCCTGTTTGGTCAGACTCCACTCTGTAACATACTTAGCATAATGATTAATCCAAACCTCATCTCGTTTTTGCATGCTATAGTACTGTATAAATAGTCACACTCCAAATGATCACTATTAAGCACTTAAGTGAGATTAACAAAGAACTTGTTTACTCTTTAGCCACAAGAACTATAAACACTAAATCAAATTATTTTAAATCCCTTACCTGTCTTTACTTTGCTGGGCAACACAGAGACTCTCAGTTCTGTTCCTCCTTCTCTGCATGATGACTTCACCAACACCTCACATGGATGACCTGTAGTTCCTTGCTCTGTTTTAGGTGTCAATTATGTCATCAACTGTTTCAGGGTGAAAAGAAAGAAACATGAGATCCTGGAGGATTTGGCAGGTAAGAACCTTTTCAGATTATTCATAAATAGTCAATGAGAATTGTGCCACTAGCTGTCAATGTAGCAAAGTTGGGGTCATAATGGGAACAGCTTGTTAGTGCCTCTGCTAAAACCTTAG